AACCCGCATGCAGTGAGGTTTTTGGTAGAACGAGGGATAATCCCCGACTACCTGAGCTTAGCCATGCAAATGAATGAAGTTTTCAGGGTCGCTTGGTGAGAGGGCGTGCAAATTGACAAAGAAACTTTTCGCACATTAGGCCTTAAGTGTCCCTGTCCCTGTCCCTGGCCAGCTGGAAATTTTCACGCGCACTCGCAACAAACGAGACATAATTTTGCACCTGTTGTCGCTGCATTTTCCAGCATTTGCTCGCTTCTTCTGAACCTCCATTGTCCTGTCCTTTCTCTCCCTATTATCCTGCTGAGTGAGGCTACGTAGCTCGTGCTGGTCCTTGTATCTCTGTATCTTTTCAGGCAGCAGCTGCAGCGGCTCTAATTGGCCATGGTCAGACCCAAGAAAAGGTTGCTGTTGCGTCGAGTGAAAGTTGACCCAAAGCGTAGCAAATTTTACATTTTTCTCCGGTGTGAGTGGCTTTGTTGCCAGTTTTTGCAATAAATTACGCACTTTATGCGTGCCCCAGAAAGGTTGCATTTGGAAATGTGTATTTCATATAGCTGCGGCTCAAAGCGGAGTGGGTAAAGTGTTTATTAACTGACAGTTAGTGGAAAATAACACACTTATAATTTGCTATTTTCATGGGCTAGGTACAAAGAGAACGCCAATCTTTCAACAAGATTAATACGCTTACTACTTTTCCCTTTGCATTTGCATTCCATCCTCTGTTACAGCATCTCGAGTGGATTTCGTCACGCGTTCGAATGACGGTTGGCAACATTATGAATAGATCAGTATAAAAATATTCAACAACTGTAGCACTTTCTGTTATTGTTGTTACCGACATTTGGACAAGCCAAGTGGAATGCCCCCGCCCACCTTTGCCGACCCATTGTCATGGAAATCGAATGCAAACAAACAGCAGCTACAAACTACTGGAAATTGTTGAAATATTTTCTATTTCTCGGGATACATGCCGTATATGGTTTTGTGAAAGGTTTCGAGGGCACGGCCGAAAAGAAAGAGTAGAAAATTGTAAATTAGATGGCAATGTGATGGCATTTCCTGCAGACGTGTCAATAAACAAAAAACACATCCGAACAGGAGACCTGCAGTGGGGCACTTGAGGTGTTAGGGGCACGCGGGGGTTAAGTAGTAAATTTATTGGAATACTTACGTATCTGTGAAGTGTCTGTCACTGAGACTGTTCCTTCCGCAGCTAGGTGTATGGCTTTGTTGTGTGCACACTGTGACATTATTACGTAATCTTCTACTGTACATAATGCACCTGAAATCACCACCTGGAAGATATACAAAGCGGGATATAAAGTTTTTCAAAATGTGTTCAAAGAGGTTTCTGGGATATTCTAAAAGCTTGAAATATGGTAACTTCGCCCTGAAACTGTTTACATTCTCCAGCCTTTAAGCCAGCTATAATGTCTAGTTTAAAAAGTATATTTTTATTTTATTATTAGCTGTTTAGCACTGCATTCTAACATTTTCCCCGATACATATGGTTCATGCAATTTCCACTTGTTTCTTCCATGTGTGTGCGCCTTATCGTTTTACTATCTGCCAACCGGGCCATCAATAATTGTATCTATCAGATAAAAACGGCAGAAAGGGACCAACAGCAATAACTACAAAATATCACACCTAAATTGCATACCAATGTTTACACGATGTCACGACAAATACTTTGATACCCTCGGCGCAGTGCAAACAGAGCACAAAAGTATTTCATGTTGTTTGTTTGCCTGTTCTTCGATTGCCATCTTTGAGTGCCCCCCTTTTCGACGCCCCTGGAGGGGCGTATGTCGGTAGCCATTGCCCACCCCCACCTGTCCCCCCAAAAAATGCCCCTTTGTTCGGTAATTTATCATGTTTGATTAGTTGTCTCTTTGGTATTTTATTACATTCATTAATAATCGTGGCTTTGGTTTAATGAATTTATTGTTTCGCAGGCGGGCGGCGCTTGTGTGTTACCCCTTTTTCCGCCGACTTTTGTGTTATTGTGCCAGGTCAGGTTGTAAATCATGTCGGACCCAGATCTACCTTCGATATATGGAAGTCAGGTGCTTCTGGGCTTGCTTGATGTAAATAGGACTTTGACCGTGTAATTTCGACCATTTCTGCGAAGTTTTTATTGCCATCACATACGATTTATTTGCAGATTTATGGGACCAACTATATCTGGCATATCTGGGTAATTATTGTAAAAGTCGGCTACAATGCTAAATTACGTTTTGTTTACTCCAGGCTTGCTATCTGCAGTCGACAGATACATTTTGAAGCTAGTAGGTGCTCAGCCTTGCCGGAGGTATCTGAATGAATGAGAGTTACAACTTTTCTGAGTATTATTGCCCCCGCCCTCTGCCACATGTGCCACACCTTATCTCCATTCATAATTTCATCAACCCAGAAAAAGTAACCAAACTCTTTTGTGTGGGGCCTGGCTACGCTTTATTTATTAGAACTCTGTCGATAATTACAAAATAATGCGTTTGGCTGCCCCTAACCCGTCGAGAGCCCCGCCACCCTTGGCTCTTTCTACCACTTCACTTTAGTTTGGTTCCCAACCTCCCACGCCCCCGCCCAACCTCCTTTTGCCACCCACCTAGAGCACCTTAAAATACACTGTCGCAAAATGCGCATGAGTTACATAGTGCACTAAAGTTCTTTGCAACACTTAAGCTTGCAATGTCACAGTGAACAGCGCATGATCCTTCCGTTAATACGACTAAATATTACTGCGAAACGTATACTGGATTTTTCTTAGTGCAGAAACGGTTGGGAAAATAAGCGTGCACACTGGCTATGGAGAAACGAGGTTACCCAGGGCGAGGAATTCGAGGCGAGGAGGTGCTCGATAGCATTACAAAGCGAGCGCCTTGATAAGATTTTGAAGCTACCAACTGGAGGGCGGGAGTGTTTGGTGGGCTTATGCTGGGTATTGAGGAAGTGTTTGGCCCGGGAGTTCCATGTAACTTGGCTAACTCGAGGTCCGATAGCCGTGATTGAGGCTGCGGTTTTCACTCGAGAGGCCTTGATAGTTATTGTTTTTAGTCTTCGAGGGCTTTGCCGCTCGAGTGGCAATACAAGGGTCGCTGTCTGGCAAGTGTCTTTCCTCCTATCAATCAATTACATTTTTGAGAGATAGTTTGCCAAAGGGAAGCCATAGCAAACAGCAGGCTGGCCAACTTAGCACATGTTTTAAGTGCAAAAAAGCATATATTTAAAATGGTTTTGCAAAAGCTAAGTCGGAATGATTACTACAAACATATTTATAATTAAGTTTCAAAACCCGAATTCTCGTTTTAAAGTCTAGTAGTCTAGTCTAGTAGTACTTTATGTTCTATTTATCATTAACGGCTTGGCGGAGATTCTGGATTATTCTAGTTCTGGAAGAGTTATGTTGGATCCCCGTACTGAAGTACTGAAGTACTGAAGTATCCCGAAAAGCAGTCAAATCGTTTTAAAGCCCATTACAAGCATAATCAAATAAAACCACTTCACCTTCACTTGGCCGGCCATCGATCACTGGCAATACTCACAATAAAAAACAGCAGTCTCTCTAACTGATTCGACATTCATTCGGCGATTAATGTACATAATTTTAACCCATTTACTGCCGGCACAGAGCAGTAAACTAAAATTCAGAGGTGTCGTAGTTGTCGCTGGGTGATAACGTGCTGGCTAACCGATGTGGCTGACATTGGGCGGTTTCGGCGTAGTTGGCCCCGTGTAATCAGTTGACCGATAGCTCTTCCCTCTATGTAATATGTGAAATATTCAGAGCGAAATGAAGTCGAAATCGAAACTCATTGCTGGCCGACAAACGAACACACACATGTGCACACTCGCGAACTCACACACACGCGAGGTACTTCCGCTTTGCGCTTGCAAAAATAGTAATCATAAAACAATATGTATTTCTTGTTTCGATATTTTATTGGGGCACGTTTCTTTATTATTCGTTATTACTCGCTACATGAGGGTGTGTAAAGCGCGTAATGCACGGGACGTTGGCCAAAATGTCGGCTAAAGGCGTTGCGGCAGCGAGACGTTGAACGTCTTGGCAGGGCGATTGAATTATCGAGACTAAACCGAAGCGAAACGTGCGACATTTTTTGGCTTTGTGTTTTTCTTCCTTTCCACACAAGCAGCAGCAGCAGCAGCAGCAGCAGCAGCAGCAGCAGCAGCAGCGACGCCAGCAGCAACATGAACAGCGGCAGCAGCAACAGCAACGGCAATAGCAGCAACATAAGCGCAACCAGCAACATTAGTTGGCGCAGCGGCAAGCATCGGCGGCAGCAACAACAAACACATCAAAAGCAGTTTGAAAACTTGCGCATTTGTTGTTGCGCCCCGTGAAAGTCGCTGCGCGTGTGTGTGTGAGCACGGCCATTGCTGCTGCAGTGTGATATTTATTGCATGCGATATTCGGCCAGAGAGCAGCGTGCAACACGCCATGTTAGCTAACAGCTGTTGCCGTTCGAACCTGTTGGCAGCGGTTCGAACTGTTAACGCAGGCCGCTCTGTTAAAAATCTGTAACGTCAATCTTTGAACGTGTTTAACTGCTTGAATCTCAGAAAGAGAAACAAATACAATGCTAAAATAATAGTTGTTTTATGGTATGATTTTATATATATTTTTAGAATTATTAAATGTATTATATATTCATGTTTTTAATAAATACGAAGACATTACGACAAATGTATCCTTAAAGCTTAATAGAAAACATTTTTTAAAATAAACAGTTTTTAACTTGATGTAAGCACATTACACTTTATTTTGACAAGCCCTTCTTAAAGCTGTAACAACGAATCCAATTCATCACCTAATTGAAGATTAATTACGTGCATTTGACGCCTTTCCAAGTCCGTAATTAATTGCTCATAACAAGTTTATCCAACTAATTATTTGGCTTAATTGAATTAACCAAGCGAGCTAACTTCGCAGCCTGTCCTTCCAAGAACTTTTATTAACTTACAAGCTTTTCGAGATGTCGCTGCTTAGAATCATTCCCATAATCATACTTATGCGGATAGTTTTGTGTATACCTGACACAACCATATTACAATTGAGTGCTGAACTTAATATAAAAATCCAAATTTACATCGGCTTCGGAAAGGAATCAAATGATTTTCCAGGTTCAGATGACAATTACCCGAAACTGGTAATACTTCGGAACATTAGTGAGGAGTTTAAAACCTATCACGACGAGCCTGTGCTTCTTATAATACGACTTGAAAGGGATTTGGATTCGAATTTGGCCACATTGGATGTGCTGAGATCCTATCTCATGGATAGGCAATACAATGATATACTACTGATAGATAAAGATAAAGAAAATGTACACAGTTATATGGATATATGCAAAGCTTACTGGAATGCAGGCTTTTCACACTTGCTTATTTATAATTCGCAGGACCAACTTTGGTCAATAAATCCCTATCCTTACTTGCAGATAAGGCCTACAAACTTGAAGGAGTATATAAAGAACAGGTATAATCGCAACTTGATGGGTTATCCACTGCGTGTCTTAGTGACCAACGATCCGCCTCATTGCTTTGTGGATGAAGATGAACTACCGAATTCCCCGAGTCGTTATAAAGGCAGTATTGTCACAATGTTGAAGCTATTTGCCGATCAGCTCAATGCCACTTTTCAAGCGAATCCTTTTCGCGGGTTTCAACGCTATTCCACCGCGCAATGTGTGCAGATGGTCAGCAATGATGAAATCGACGCCTGTGGCAGTATCTTCATAAGGACCTACATGTACGCCACCAGTCAGCCAGTTCGCTTGAATCGTGTGGTTATAATGGCGCCATTTGGCAACGCCATCGAGAAGTTCTACTACTTCTTCAGGCCCTTTGACTTGTACGTCTGGATCGGAACTGGCATAATCGTGGTCTATATAGCGCTAATGGGTTCCTTGCTTCATCGCCTGCATTTCGGGGCATGGGATGTGGGTCAGTACCTCCTGCTGGCCGTGCAAACTCTGCTGAACCGGGCACTATCTTTGCCGCAATCTCCGAGAGGCTCCAAATTGCTGTTGCTGCTCCTGCTATTTGCCATTGGATTTGTATTGTCCAATTTGTATGTGGCGCTGCTGTCCATGATGCTGACCACCAAACTGTACCAGAGACCCATTGAAAACGTGGCCGACTTGAAGGCGGCCAATGTGAGCATACTACTCCAGACGCACAATATCAGACCCAATTCAGTTTACGGAAGCTCGGAGGAGCTGAGGGAGAGATTCCTTCTGGTCGAGGAGTCCCTACACCTGGAGAAGAGAAATGGCTTGGATCCAAGCTACGCCTATGTGGACTCGGAAGACAGAATGGATTTCTACCTATACCAACAGAAATTCCTTCGCAGACGCCGGATGCAGAAGTTATCCAATCCCGTTGGCTACACCTGGGCCGTTCAGGTCATCAAGCAAAACTGGGTCCTGGAAAAACACTACAATGATCATGTGCAGCGCTTGTTCGAGACCGGATTGCAGAACAAACTGGTGGATGATGTGCACGAGTTGGCCGTAAAGGCTGGCTTCCTGCACTTCTTGCCCACCCAAACCCAAACCATCGAACCACTGCGACTCGAGGACATAGTGATGGCTGCCATGGTCTTGGGCGGCGGACACGCCCTCGCCGGGATCTGTTTCCTGGTCGAGCTGTTCGCCTAATGGGCTTACTCTCAATCTCGGGAATGGCAATAGTTCGGATGGCCGTAAAAACGGTTAACACCCACGCAATAAACGGAACTACCCCTAAGTGTATCACAATTTAAAGCGATTAGGGTCACAATAAAGCAACAGAATGGGGACCCGCATGCGACATCCGTTGCCAGGACACTCGAAAAAACCAACTGCTAAACTATAATATATCCTTATAATTTAAATATTATATTAGCCAGAAACCTGCAGGAAAACATTCTAGAAGATTACATTTCTTTTATAGTAATTAGTCACTAACCCATTAGTCAGAAACCTGTAAGAAATTATTCCGGAATAGTTAACCCTAACCCGTTTAGCATTTAAGACTGGCGTTGTTCTCAGTGCACAAGAAGTGTGTCAATTGACGGCATTACTCTACTTCTCCCAGCGGAAGTTGCCAAAAATGCAGCAGTTGATTGAACATTGATTGACAATGGCTCCCGGCCAGGATGCGAAACACAAGCAGGGGGCGCGGTCCACTGGCCATCGATTCATGGACTTGGCTAAGGACGTGGACATGGACATGGACATGGCTGTAAGTGTGGGTGTGGATGGGGCAGTGCCACTGCTTCTTGTGATTCCCTTTGTTCGACGAGACAATGACGATTTGTGCACCGTGAGCAGTCCCCTCCTCGCTCCTTTGTGTCCTCCCTGCCATCCTTGTAATCCGCCGATGATAATGGGCCATTGTCAGTATCGATGTGCGATGTGCGATGTGGACGCCTGATTTCTGCTTTCTGATTCCTGCCGCCTGCCGATGACGACCAATGACAGCCACTTGGTTCGCTGGTTGATAGCTGACGCACTTTGGCACAGACACGGATTGTGTTGAATTGGACTCGATTGCCCCACTGGGGGGCACTTTAAGCTCATTAAAGTCCGGCGAAATTAGCAGCATGACAGTGAGATGATTGGCAATTGAATAGTGGGTGTGAAATAAGACGGCTTAAAGGGGCTATTTCGGGAAGGTTCGAATAAAAATGGGTTCTTATTGTATTCAGCAGCATAGAAAACTATTGTCAATGACAAAAACCCTTTACGAATAGGACTTTCACTATAGTTTACAATCAAATAAATTGACGCTTAAATCGTTTTACTGTTAGAACTTGTAGCCCTGAACTGAAAGTAAGCATGTGGTCAACCAATAAGGATTATCTGTGGGCTCGAAGCTGACATTTCGATTCCTCCAGTCACGTTCAGTACTCAAAAGATAATTACACTTTCCAAATGTGAAGTGAAAATAACAGAAAACTTAAGTGGGATTAGGTTGAGTTGCCACCCCATCAGTCGGCCGATATCTGCGATTCGGTGCAAAGGTTGTTGCCTGAATAATTTGGAGACACAATTTCATCACTGCCGTGACTCAGATTCCATTTGTGAGTGGACCTCTTTAGGGCACATGGCCCATACCCCTATAAAGTAGTAAGCAATTACTGCTCATTTGTTTCGGCCCAGTTATCAGGCTGTTGCCAACGGCCCAGAGCCGTACAGCAGCTCCTACATTGCGACTAAGTAGTAAGCCAACTGAAGTTGCGTGAAAAATATTGGCCAAAGTCACGGGCCATTGCAGATTACCGGATTGATATCGCTGTGACGTCACGAGGAATGTGTACGGAGATGGCCACCGATAAGATTCGCTTACAAACAACTCGCAGTTTGTTAAGTTGTCAAGTGAAAGCCGAGGGCTGTTCATTAGCGAAATAAAAGTTCTGTCATCGAGATAGTTGGGATGTGTTTTGGACCCACTCAAAACCACCAATTAATAGATATTTTGGTGTTTTTTTTAAGTTTGGAGTGCTGGCCTCTTGAGATGAATGAGTTGTTTTTTGGGGAAATTCTATGGAATATTCGATCAGGTGTTTTTCCACATTACACTGGGACACTTGGTATTATTTTGAGTTGTTATCTTCATTTAAACATTACGTTAATGGTTAAGTAAAAAGGTTTTCGTTGGCCATTATAACAGTGAAACAACAAAAGCCAATCCCCAACTCAAATCAATCTTTATTTTGGCTTCTTTTCGCAGGGCTAACTGTCAATTTGGCCAATCAAGCGGATACCGCAAAAAGCTAATTAATTTTTTGCTCTACCCATTTGCCGTCAACGGCAGTTGAAAACGCTCATCAAACTAATTGGCCAGCCGACGGCGTGGGTGGTCATTTTAGCCTCTTGGCCAACTACTCGGCTTGGCTTTAATTGCATGCGCCGGTCGCCGAGAACCTGCCACAGACAGGCATTTAAAAAGACGCAGCTTATTGTCTGCCTAATGGCTACGGGTGAGCCAAGCTGCCGTTTTGGCCAGATTCATAGCCAACTCAAGGCCCGGCCAAAAGCATTTTGGCTATTTTTATTTCTTTTGGTTTCCTAGCCGTTTACCGTTTTGGCCTTTTTGACATCGGCGTGACAACCAACTATGCCGTTTAATAAACTTAACAATTTAATTTTCCATTTGGCAACAAATTGCTTTGTTACGTTTCGTTTGGTTTCTCAATTTCGAGGGAGATTTGATTAATACAATGAAGACATAAATACAGTGGCTAAGTTGCAGGTTTGAAGATTTAAATGTGACTTTTCTTAGTTCCAAATGGTAAGCATATATGGTAAACATTGTAAACTCGACCTTTACGTACAAATAATTTTTTAATTATTCAATGTTTTAATTGAGCTTTTTCGTCTTAACAAGTTTGGTTTCGCAATGGTGCTTTGTATCTTTGGCATGATGCCGGAAATGCCTTTTCCTAACGTGGCAAACTCAATTAATTAACTTTCGAACGCTGCACTGGCAAATAAATATTTGCACTTGATTATCGCGTTGACAGCCCCATGCGGCTGTGGAACGGGTTGGCAGCTCCTCGTTGGCCCCACTTGAACCTTGTGGCCAACTGCTGACCAGCTCCCAAGCAGCCCTCTCCCTCGCACAGCAGCCCGCTCACTCGCACACACTAGGCGCCGCTATTTACTGTCAATCATCGCGGCCTTCTTGAGGCGGTGGGTGGTGGGTGGCGGTATCGCCCAATCAATATCAATGACTGATTACGATTAAACTCGGTGTCCACGCGCTAGTTGGCCATTCGGCTTTTGGCGAGCCTCCATTTGGCCAGGTGAAAATGCGAAAATGCCTGGGAAATGAGTCACGCCTCGGGTATCGTGTGGCCTGCAGTTATAAGGAAATCTTTGACAGTTGGCGCAGGTGAAAGTTGTTTTCGGAAGTCCATAAGATAGATGGTCTGGAAAACCTTCAACAGAGCAATTATACTGAGTTACTGCACACAACTATTTACCTGAACGCTACTGCTGTGATTAGGATTATTTGGAAGATTGAATATTTCTATAGCAGCCAGTTCTTTACACAGAATTCTGGTGCTCTTTAAGGCGAAAAGATAAGCTTAAATAAAAATCAGTGTTCTTGAGTTATGATTGCTTGTAGGGAGTATATGTCAAGTATTTCTGTTTTTAGAGAGTCCTTGAGAAATATATTTAATTGTGTGATTCCTTATTAATTAGTGTTTGATGACCGGGCAGTATTCTGAGTACCAGACTACCAGAAACCACGCTTATCAGTCAATCGGGACAACTGGGTCATATCACATACTCGGCCGGATGACGTGCGAATTTGGTTTAAAGCGCCACGGCAGGCGGAGATTTATGGTGCGCTTAGTGGCAGCCCCATAAAGATTCCGTCAATAGCTAAATCAAAATAAATCGTAAATAAATCGCTGCGAAATTCCTTGCCATGACACCCGCTCTATCGGATCGTCTCCAGTGGCATCCGCTCCTCCACGACGGACTTTGCTATCGGATCGTATATTATCCGCATACGAGTATTTATATTTGACGGGCGGACAGCTAACTTATCGGGCGAGATTCCTGGCTATTTTTGCTTTGGGCCAGGCTAATGAGCTCTAATTGATTCCCTTCCAGATTGGTTTACGACCACGCCCTTCTATCTGGACAGGATCTTGCGGCTTCCTGGTTTTTAGTTTTCAGTTTTCAGCTTTCGGGTTTCGGTTTTCGGGCACGTGTCGTCCGCTGGTATCAAGTTTTTCGGGCCAACCGCAGAGCCAACAGCATATTGAATTTTACACACATTTGTTGTTCCCAACATGTAAACAAAAAACCGCAAAACCAACAAAAGACCAACATCCAGCCCACACGGAAAACGCGGCCTGCGGGCGAATCGTGTTTGACAAGTAATAAAGGTGATTAAAGCAAATCTAAACACTTGCCCCAGGCATTTCAAATGCCAGTGAATAATGCGCCACCGAATGCACAAAGGGGGTGGGGGTGGGGGTGGGAACAGGGCAGGGGTCGAATCATTTGTTAATCAAAATGCAAATGTAATCAATAGAACGGAAGTGCCCGCCCCTCGACAGACGTGTAATTTGGTTATTGTAGTAAATGTAATAGCATAATGGATCAGTCCGGTGAAAGGCGAAATTGGATGGTTCAACAGTGGGTCAGAGTTTATTGCTGAGTTTATTTACAGATACAAAGGGCTTAGTCACAGGAGAATATAAAATAACTGCTGTAAATCACATAAAAATATATTAAATACGTTTTGATTGTAGGATGAATGCAGTTTTCTTCCAAGTTTGCGCCACTGTGGTGGCTGAAAAAGTGGCCTTTGGGTAACAAGTCTAGCCATGACTCTGCTCCACTGCGCCCCCGTTGCATGTTAAGAGGCATGAACACGCTGCAAAGGGTCGCCCGAAGAGCGCCCACTTCCACCCACTTCCACCCACCTTCGGCACCTGGTCCGCTGGCCTTTTGGCATTTCGGCTGCCATTTTCCAGCGGAAATGTACGCCAAAATGTTTGCGTGCCCCCAACGAGTATGAGAATGTAATATGTTGGAATACTCGAAATTTGAGAAAAATAACGTGCCAAGGAGGGCTTTTCCCCACAGCAGGGGGTGTGCATATATACAAGAGGATGGGGATGGGGATGGGGATGGGGCTGCGGATGACTTGGCAAATGGCGCCGGCAAATGCGTTCATTGAACTGCCTGAGCGATGCAATAAAATCAACAAAAACACATTTAAAAGGAAAATAAATGTGTGTAGGACAACTGGCGACGAGGAAAAGTTACGAGAAAGGACAGCTGGAGATGGAAAAGGGGAGTGGGGAGTGGGGCGTGGGGCGTTCTAAGACAAACAGTGAGCGGATTTATGGGGTCGCTTTCGGTCGAGTCGCTGTCGTCAGTGGCAAGTAAGAAAATAAAATGTAAGAAAAAAAAAACGGAAGCGGAAAGACGCGAAACTGGCAACTGACACACAAATACGGGGCAGAGGGGCAGGACGGGAGGGGAACCGCAAGGGAAGCTGTCGGAAGGACTGCCAATCCTCCCCTGCTGTAGCTGCTACACTGAAACCAAAGTGGCTGCAGAAGCATTTTCAGTTTTAAATCTGAATTACAAGTTTAATCATAGTTAATATTAATACAAGTACTGAAGATGTTAGATGTAGATAGGAATCTGATCATCTTATTAAATGCGCGACAAGGAACTGTTTGTTCAGTTTTCAGTGCACTTATCCCTAAGCGTTCTCCTTGTCCTTTTTGTTTGGATTGCCAACGGAAGCGAATTAAGTTGCCTTATGCGACGAAAGGGTTCAGTACCCAAGTCCTGACCGCCCAGATATCAAGCTCCTGGGGTGCAGATCGTGCTGGGGTGAAATTGATATGCTATGTCCCAAGGAGCCGCAGATACTGTATCTCGTGGCTTGCTAAGTGTGCAGAAAATTTCAGATATTAATGATCCACTGGGTATCGGATTTTCAGCGCCCCTGGATTACTTGCGCCTCGATGGGCGGGCAATCGCAAAGAAATCTGCTGTAATTGCCGCGGTCCATTGCATAAGCGGTACAACGCGGCGGATTATTGATATTTGCCAACTTGCCTGTGGAAATTCAAGAGATAATCGTGGCGGCAAATTGTGAACGAAGCCAAATTGTAGGAATTGATTTCCTAATCTGCATTCGCTCTCCGTCATAAAAGAGATTCGCAGTTCGGGCATTGAATAGAAGTGTAATCACAATATACTCGTAAGTGACTTCTTTACTTGTCCAGCACGATTAGATTTGCTTGAGCAAATTTAAGATTCTGATATGGAACAATGAAATTCCTTCTGCATTCGATCAGATACTTGCTATTTAACGATGACAAAACAAATTCCGTTGTGTATGCTTTATATTTAGCGAATGAACTCTTCCTTTAAATGGAAATGAAATATCACTTATTTTTACGGCTGAACGCGTCACTTTCAGCATTTTTACTTTCCAATTCCACATTTGAGCAGCGTCCATAAATTTGTCATTCTGCTGCCTTCAAAGTGAAGTTAAAAGTGAGAGTGAACTGATTTTCTTGTCAACTGCCTACGGAATAATCAGATAATGAGGTAAGCAGCAGTTGAAAAGGCAGTCAAGGTCCAAAGAAGGCAAATTCCCAGAAAATATAATTGTATCTATTTATAAATATCCTATTAGGAAACTTGCATAATTATATTTAGTATTTTATTTGCATCAAGCTACCCGCTTTTCCCTTCTTTTCCCATTTTCTGAAATGGGTGTGGCGAGCTGAGTCTGAAACTGTGGCAAGTGCCACGCCCACCTGGCAAAAGGGCAATTTGTTGCGCTTCGTTGCGCGTGGAAATTATGATTTTTGCTTTTGAGAAAATCTCATTAGGCGCTGAAAAAGGATGCCGATTTTTGTAGCCATAAATATAGCTTGCCTGCCCGCGATTTGCAGCTCAACTTTAGACGCCAACCTCGTGGATACGCGTTACGTGGCGTTTTAATTAAGCTCAGCGTTTTATGGACACTTCTTTAATGGCACCGCATAAATTCTAGAGGAGCAGTCGGCAGCTTGGATCAGGAGTTTTAGGACTCCGACCCCGATTCAGATCCAGGGCATAAAACGCACGGCAGGCAGTCGGAAAGTGAATTTTATGCCAATCATTAAACAAAGTTGTGAAACCGAACCGCTTTGTATCGGGAGTTATGTCGTTGATAACTTTATCCCCAACTTTGTAGCGAGCTCCTTTCCTTATCGATTGCCTGATAAATGTTTGACACAGAGTGTGAGCTGCACTCGAGGGTGTCATTCAACTCACTGCAACTGTATCTGGCAGGCGTATCTGTATCTGGTAAATAGGTTTTATGGTTCTCTAAATAACTGCTCATTACAGCTGCATGTTAGTACAAACATGAGTTATGGGCTCTTGCGATGAGTCACGGCATTAAAATGGATTATGATTGTGCTCTGAATTGGGCTTTCTATTTGTCACTTCTCTATAGTCATACTTATATGCTAGTGATGCAATTTAAATAAATATTGTATTATTGGAAATGTGTGTTTACTTTACTTTTGAATAGCTATTGCTGTTGTAGAGCGGAACAGTTGCTTGACAAACGTTCGAAATATTAGTCATCACTTCAAAACGATCCATGTATCTCAAAAAAGTGAAGCCATATTCATAAGGAAGTGCATATTTAAATCACCCTACTTGCGTTTATCAGTGGCTTTCGGTGTGATTCATGCACTAGAAATGCCACACCACTTATACAAAATCCTACCAGTTGAGTTTAGGTATTTCTATCCGTATTTCCGGACTATCCGTTGATATGCGATTTAATTCATAATGAATGCGTGACCATAAGCTGCTCGTGATCAGCGCTCATTTGGCTCATTTGTAGTTAAAACGCTTCGGAAGCTGATTTACTCGTCCAGTTTTTGCATATCTCGTGAGCAGCATGAAATCGGAATTGGGATTGGAAACCGAATGATTTATTTGCAAATGCAACACCGAAATGCACTCACAAAATGAGCTTTTAAGTGGCCGGCCCTCGACTTTCGACTTTTTTGTTGTTTTGTTGCTTTGTTGTTTTGCTGCTTCACCCTTTTGGGGGAAAAAACCCAAAAACGCACTGGGAACTGTCACCAAGTGCTCCACATTTGTGTGTAAAGCTTATTAAGAAATGCTTATTCCGCCTTCCGTCTCGCTCTTTCTGGGGAGCCTGCTTCCCTCTCATTTTTATCGAGTTTAATGGATTTTTAATGAGTCTGAAGCGGGGCTTTTGACGGCATTTTCGGAAAGTGCAGTTTCATTATCGCTTAATCCTGTTTGCCTTTCAGGGAGGAGGAAGATATGCACACAACGAGCGTGTTTAAAAAAAGGGGAGTGTACAGACTACCGAGTTCGGATTGGCGATAAAAATATCAAAATTGTATCGGTTTTATCGGTTTCTATTTGATTTTACTGCATAAAAAAGCGAGTTAGTTCACCTGGGTATATTGGCCTGATATCACTTAATAAGAAGTATACTTATACTGCCGTAATCGAATTTATTGCTGCTTTAATTGGGAAATTTTCACAATTCAGACATTTGAGTCGTTGTCACTTTCAGTTGCTCCGTCGCTGGACTCGGAAGCTTCGTCCTCAACCACAGTCAACTCACTGTAGTAGGCCTTCACCACGATCAGACAGTATCCGAGGGTAACTTAAAGTACAACTTTGTAGTTGGTTGAGGCACATCCGATTGCCAACATACTTATCCTGAGGATCAGCAAGCCATCCAACAACACGGTGACGAGGGTAAACAAAAATACCATGTAGTTTATCAACAGCCAAGTTCCGATCAACAGAAGTTTTTGCTGAGTTTAGGACGGATTTGTGAGACCGATCTTGCTTAGATTTTGAACTGACTCATTCGAACTCACGTAAAACACGGCATAGATCAGTAGGAAGTGGTTGAGCATCATCAACCAGAACACGGTTGCAAATCCGGCCACGCAGACTCGGGTGTCCATGGTTCTAAAGAACTCGACCACATAATCCGGATACTTGTTTGAGATAACCATATCCCACCCAATGCTGCCCACGATGAAGTCCGTTAGTCCAAAGGCAATGCCCACTGTAACAACGCCATATTTCAGGGGCCAAAAGTACAGAAATTTCCTTAAAACCATGTTTCCTCAAAGTAGGCAAAACTGAAAGATAATGACGGAGCTCTCGGTTTATACTTTTGACTAATCATCCTTTTTGTTGGTTTTCTGAACTCACCACCTATTTTGTTGCATACTTTTTAAATGCATTTTCCAGTCAGTGATAGACTTAATTCCGTCAAATATTAATACATTCAGCATGAATTCCATGAATGAATAATTGCCACTCGCATAGATGGGAGGCCAAGAGTCCATTTGCAACTGAATCACCGTCGGTGCAACGAGTGTCCAGCTAACTGAAATTTCAGTTAGTGGTAGCCCGTAATCCTACACACTCGTCTCTAGCATTGGGCCATCGGTAATTCCGGGAATTCTAGTTCTGTAGACAGCATTTAGATAGACGGAGACAATGCCAAACAAATCAAGTCAAATACAATAAACGCCCTGGCATTTTATCAGCTCCAAATCAGACGTAACATCAGCCGCCGGGGCTCTCGAGTGTCGGGCCTTCAGATCGCCAAGTTTTGGTTTACAACGCAAAAGCGACAAGAAGCGAAAAGGGTTTGCCTGCCTGAACATTCTTTGATCAATCAAGTGACGCGGAAGCGGCGCAGATAGCTGATAGCTGATAGCAGATACCAGTTAGCATTCCAGGCCCTCTCGCCTAGTCACGGCTAAAATATTTGGCCAAAGTCTGCAGGGACTTGCATAACCCAAGGTCGTTCGCCTGGATCGATCGATAAGGGAATTCGGCACTGCAAAATGTGCGATCGAGTGGACCCCGTACTCGAGTACCCGTACTTCAGCCCAATTATCGAGCTGGTATTTTAATTAGGCCGCGTTATCATCGTGATCATCGAGGCCGCACTGTCTTAGCCAATTGGGCGCAACTGTACTCCAATAGTTTCCAAATGGGACTGACCTAAGTTACAGCGATAACAAACGCGGACAGCATTTCTTTTTTGGAACCAAGGCACGAAAATAGACCCTTGCGTAGTGGTCAACTGGATTGGAGTCAAGCTAAATGGATCGGTTTTTTATTCCCCACCAGCGGAAATAGCCAAAAATAGCATCAGTTGCCAATATAAAATGTGGTCAAGCCTGGGTATTATTCGCTTCCCCCTCTGATCCTCAGGTATGACTATATTAGCGGGGCAAATACAAAAATACAAGGTTGAAGTGCTCTTAAGTACAGTTGAGCTCGCCACGCGTCGTTTGTTATCGTTCTATCGATATCGCCGAATATGTTGCTTCAGTTGTTAATCCAAAATACAACATGGCATTTGACAAGCGTACTAATTGATTTGATTCTCGTGCCGCTGTGTTGGGCCAACGAAATGCGACGATTGCAAAACCACGTACATAATCGAAGTCATGGCACCCCATGACTTTAAATTTAAATTCAATTCCCCTTCTTGTATATTTATTTTAGCATTTGAAATCAATCACGAATTTTACTAATATAGTTTGCAATGCATATTATAATTCGTCGTCGGTTGAATATCGTATCCATCCAAAGCTTTGGTGGAATATTTTTGGCTGCATGGCAAGCATTTGGAATTCCTTTGGTATAAATATTTACATTTGAAACCCCGATTAAGACCTCCATTCCCATTTCAAAGCCCATTTCGTCATCAATTCTAGAACTTAAGCCCACTGGAAGGCAATGTAAATTCCCTATTACTTAGTTTTGTTTTTGCACAACGGAATATTTATCATTTTCGACCCACGGAAACTAAAAGAGGTCAGAGAAAATGACTGAATATTGGCCCATGGAAAGCAGAGTTGCACAAAAATTCAGTGAGGGAAACTGCCTGAGTCGCTAGACCTGAAAACAAGTTCCATTCTTGTTGATAGACAAATATCATGCTTCGCAATGTGGAATATTCCGAGAGCCTTTTCGGTTCTTTAGCCGACAGTTGCCTCACTGATAAGACAAAATGCGTTTTGCAAGAGCGGAACAGCTTTATAAGCCCCATGAATAGACCTATTTTCTGTTTGTCTTCAGACGGGGAGATGGGAGGTTTCTGGTGGGGCTTCGCCTTGCATGTTACAGGAAATAAACAACAGGCAGTAATTATGCAGCTCAAACAGTGGTGTTTATAACGGTTTTCCAGCTCAGACGCAGCCAAAACACCGAATCATGGTAACTTGTATCGCATGGATATGGCATGTGGCATTTGCCATATGGCACATGGCACAAATCATCATCATAAAAAGCTCGTCGGCTGTCTTTCTTCGCCTGGTTCTGTTGTCAGCACAATCACAATCACAAAAAGGCCGCCTGGCGCTCCACTGGCCGCGGAACGCTCCATAAAAATGGGGCGGGGATACACTGAGATACACGGGAAGTTTGGACTGCGATAAAAGCCAGTCGAAAAGGGAGAGTTCTCTGTGCGTATAACCCAAAAATGAAGCCCTGGTTCCTGCGGGGGCCATTTATGAGCTGAATTATGGGATGGTATTATATGCGGGGTCAGGGGATCTACAAGTGGGTCACCTGCAGTTGACATAAGCTATTGCCATGACAGGTGGGAGTGCTCGGGCTGGTTGCACAGCAGTGAAAGTGATCGTGGGGGTTCCCCATTTAAGGCTGGGATACCGGAAGCAATCACCTTATTCTACTCAGATGTTGGTCATAAAAAGGTGGTTCATTTGAACAGTTTTAGCTGTTCTAACTCAATGTATTTACTTGAATATTAGTTATAGTTATTCCTGGCATAAAATACAACTTTAATTTGAATCATGCAAACATGGTATTCTCTATATTCAAGGGGCTGTGTTTACGTATGGCCATATTACCGGAAGACTCTTCATTGAACAAGAGCCATTAAAATTCCATTTCGCGATAATTCCGCCCATTAAAACGCTCCCCAACACAAAGCTTCCGAAAGGCCAAGCAGCAAACAAAAACCACCTGAGAAGCAATCGATTATCACTTTTGATGGGCTGCCAAAAAGGCGCTTATCTAAGTGCGCAAATAGCTGGGGCTAAGCAGCAAGCCGCGGCGCTGGAATTTCGCTCAGTGCACCGTCACTCATTCAATGCCGCCTTTATCGACAATGCGAGGGCGCCAAAGGCAGAGAAATGCGTGTCAGATAGGACAGTCCAAAAGGAGCCCACTATCTGCCATTATAACAAATAACAATAATATGAAAAAATAATTGTGTCTTTCTGTTTGCTCTATATGTCAGCTCGAAGCGCCGGCCAGGTGGAAAAGGTGCTCCACGAACTCCGGAGGGCCTGTGCTTAGCCTTCCCCATTTAGATACAGGCACAGATACAGATACAGATACAGATACCCACCGCACTGCGCCGATTGGGCTGTCAGTATCTTTATATTAATCAATAAGAGCAGCTCCGATAAGATTGCGAGCTTAGTCTGCTGCTGCTATCGGATGGGCAGTGTGGCTGATGGGCGGGGGTCAGGTGGCCGGGGGACTGGGGCGGCAGGTGGGTGGGTGCACATCCTTCAAGCACTGCCCTATGACCCCATCACCCCGGGAACCAAATGGCTGTTACAGTGAAGTGAGCAATGGTATTCCAAAGCAATTTTTTTAAGTTACATTTAAATTTGCGTATTAAACATTATTACCAAATATTTTAACATTTTGAAATTGATTAATTTAAGGTGAGCAGAACCACAACTTCATGTACTTCATTTCTATCAGTGCTTTTGATAACTTTCCCGACTGGCACTCGCCAATTGATAAATCCATTGTTTGTGCAGCATTTATTAATGTATAAATTATATAGGTTCGCCGAGTGGGGCAATACTTCTTGGCCGGCTGCCAACTAACTTGGCCCACTGTGCTCCCTCAATTTCGCGTGCGCCAATAATATTTACATAAAAAAACAAATATTCGCCAGACCAATTTGTTATTCAAAGTAATAACAGCGAGTGCCCGCAAAAACATCTGCGCAGTAAAGAGGCTATCTTAACGTGTCATTTATTTTAATTGGTCAGCACAGTAATTGCTAACAAAAACAGAAAGCTTATATAAGGGCTTGAGCATCCGTTGGTTGCTGCTTTGCACCACGTTTAGATGATTATCGGTTCCAGCCAGAACATTGATAAGAGCTCCAAGCAAGAGCTTGGCCAAGATTGGCCGATTGACCAATTACTGCTGGTATTTGTAACGTTCTAGAGATATGATAGCGATGGATAGGACCCTCAGTACAAAGCGCCAAATTCGGTCGAATTTATCTGTTGGATATCAATTAAGGCTCCGAGTCCGAGGAAGCATTTAATCCCGGGAAAAGTGCAATATTTACCCACACATTAGCCAAGTCAACAGCGGCAGATTGGTGGAACAAAGGGAGGACTCCACTTTGAAAGCGGAAGTCGTGGCGGGAAATTCGGAAAAACATTTTACAGCGAAAGCCTTTTATGGCTGAAGAGCAAATCGATACCACACTCGAAGGTTTTGCCGGGTAGCATAAATCAAAACCACTGACAATGTCAAGAGGTCTCAACTGTGCCTGTTTTCGAGGAATCGAAACAAAATTTACGACTATGAAGTTCATATCATATCAAATTGTGTCCAAATAGCTCAGACCTCATGTCCACTTTTCATATCTCAAAGTTGTTTAATCATTTGTCTGGGACGCACTGTGTATCCATGTTTCGAGATTGGCAGCTTGATTTCGGAATGTATCTCGATTTTGGCATCTAATAATATGCATTCTAATTCAAATGGAAGAAACTGTTTGATGGTGAGCGCCCTAAGCTAAGTTGACCTCTGGGTAACCCTGAAGCTTTGGGGAATCCCATTTCATGTGACAGCTATCATTCACCCCGCTACCACCAAAAATTTGTGGCATTCTTGAGGTAGCCCGATTTATCAATGCCAGTCAGAGTGATTATGGGAAACACGTTTTATTCGCACTCTCCTATCGCAGAGCACGTTTTTGGAAACGTTTCTAAAAGCGAAACTTTCCGCTGTTGACCAAAACAATGGCGATCAAGATAACGATCACGAATGCCAGATATTGAGAATAATAATAACAAGTTAGCTGGCTTGGATATTATGGTGGCCTTGGACGAATTTCCAT